AAAAAAAAAAAAAAAGAAATACTGCAATGACACTAAAGTTAGGTCCTAAAATAATTTAGCTACCTCAATGTGCAAGATAAAAAATATTTTAATTTTTCAAACATGACAACTAGGTTTTTACTTTCATTTTACATATTAAAAACTGATTAGAAACATGTTAGACATCTCTACATGTCATCAAGAAGCTCCAGGAAGAGGCATGCCTAGGTGGCTCAGTAAGTTGAGGGTCCAAACTCTTGATTTGGCTCAGATCATGATCTCAGTGTTCGTGGGAGCAAGCCCCACTATCTGTGCAGAGCCTGCTTGGGATTCTCGCTCTTCTACCTTCCCCCAGGGCATGCACATTCTCTCTCTCAAAAATAAAATAAACATTTAAAAAAGAAGTACTAGTAGTAGTTCCAGAAAGAGATTAACAATGAACTTATTAGCTTTACATGGAAGTCACATTGTCCAGTTTTCAACCTGTGCAAAATGTTTTAAGGTAACTTGCTTCTGAATTGTTTCACATTTTATTCATAAAACTCTCAGCAATTAATTAGTAAAAGCTCTTAAGAAAGAAAGGAAGGACTGTCCAAAGTAGCCTACTGCGATGATGGTTTAAGTCCCAGAATATTAACTATCATTAATATATATAATACCAGGGGCGCCTGGGTGGCTCAGTCGGTTGAGCGTCCGACTTTGGCTCAAATGTGATCTCTGATCTGTGGGTTTCTTGAGCCCCTTCCGGGCTCCGTGCTGACAGCTGGAGCCTGGAGCCCTGTGCAGTTCTATGTCCTCCCTCTCTCTCGGCCATCCCTGTTTCATGCTCTGTCTCTCTGTCTCAAAAATAAATAGCGTTAATAATAAAAAAAAAAAATATATATATATATATATATATATATATATATATATATATATATATATATAATACCAGCTGATCTGTAGGTTGAAGATGACTAAACATTTGTTATTAGTGTAGCTTGCCACACAAAAGAACTGCTGAGAGCTACAGTGGATGGGCTCCAATAAAGTACCTATTCCTGAGTCTTACCATACACTTCTCCTACATGTATATTAAAATATATAAATACATATGTATATATACGTGTGTATACGTATTTTTTATACTAGTTGCTAACAATTAATGAAAGATCATCACAAAGTGATGACCATTATTTCTAACAGAACGCCTTAAACCACCTCAAATTACCAACTAACTGTTCCTAGACAAAGAGAAGTCTGTTATTTATTTATTTGGGGGGCGGAAACAGAAGGAAGAGAGTATCCCAAGAAGGCTCTGCACTGTTAGCACAGAGCCCGACTTGAGGCTCAAACTCATGAGCCGTGAGATCATGACCTGAGCCAAAACCAAGAGTCATACACTTAACCAATTGAGCCACCCAGGCACCCTAAGCATGGGGAAGAGACTTCACAGTCAAGGAAGGCCATCTTTCTTGAATATAACCTGTAACTTTACAAGGAAAGAGTGATGCCAAGAAAATGTCTACAAAATACAAACATTTGGTAAGTTACATTACATACCACTAATCCCCGATTAATGCCAATAAGCCTCAATAAAATGGCAGTAACTGTGCTCCTATAGGGTTAAAAGAATCCATGCATCAATATTTAAATAATTAGTGGTGCCAAATCGTCTAAATACTATCAACTTAAACTCAACCACTCAAAATAAGGCTTTGAATTAAGTAACCATGCTCTGTGTTTGTTTCCCAGGACTACTACTATGGAACCATGTTACACCTATGTATTTGTTTGCAGATTTTTACCTGTGTAACAAGAGGCTCCAACAGTCTCTCAACTGCCAGAGTCCTGATCTCTAGACTTTTGGGGTCCCATTTGAAGTTTATGTTGCCTGCATGGACAGCAGTCATTTCTGAAAAGGAAACAAAAGGCCAAAGTGAGGCAAACATCAAACACAAACATGAAATATATAACAAATCTTCTACTTTTATAAAGGAGTTTTATAACAACAAAGCTACATTCACCACAAGAGGGGGAAAAATTCTTACTAGCCTGTACAAGAGGGCCCAGTAACTCTTAACCTCTTACACTTTCAGACGCCAAGTTTATAAACAGTAGAGGTACCACAAGAAGCACTTCCAAACACATAGAGCTTTTCCTTTTGGGCTTCTCTGGCACCAAGCCAGGTCTATTTCTAGTTTTTCCATAACAACTTAGAAGCAGGATGAAAAGCCAAAGTGAATGAAGGCCTGATTCTGATTTTTCATACTCCATAACATTTCTAATGCAGTATTACCTAAAAGGTATAACTCCTTCATTTTTTGATGGATTCTTAGAGAACATCTTGTCTTACTCTATTAAAACATAATGCTTAAGTCTGCTGCCCTCTGCACCTACAGCTATTATCACTCATAGCCAGAAGAAATTTCGAGTCGCACTTAGTCAAATATCAATGTATCAGTGTCAAGGTAAACTTCCATTAGAGGCTTTAAGTCTAGGGGAAGACTTCAATGAAAACACCCAACAGTTAGTGACTGCTTGTATAAGTAGTGACTTAAAGGACGCCTGGGTGGCTCAGTCAGTTGAGCGTCCGACTTCAGCTCATGTCATGATCTTGTGGTCTGTGGGTTTGAGCCTCATGTCAGGCTCTGTGATGTCAGTTCAGAGCCTGGAGCTTGCTTTGGATTCTGTGACTTCCTCTCTCTGCCCCTCCCCTCACGTTCTGTCTCTCAAAAAATGAATAAATGTTAAAAAAAATTTTTTTCAAGTAGTGCCTTAAAGACAAAAGGAAAAAAGGTGAGGTACATAACTGAGGTAAACACAAATACAAACTTTCAGACAACCAACTTGACAGATATTTAAAACCCTAGAAGAGGGTGTTTTATGATCCAGAAATTCCATTTCCCGAATTTTATTCTAAAGAAAAAATTAAGGTGCATGGAAAAAGCTGGATACAATGATGTTCACAACAGCACTGCATACAATCATAATAAAGCACAAATTTCAAAGAGATCCCTAAATAAAGCACACAACCGATCACACAATACTGTACCACTCTTAAAAACAATGTTTACAAAAATTTAGAGGGAAAAAAACAAAAACACTGTTCTCACTGCTCAGGTCTTTATTTCTATTAAATGCCACTTTCCATTAAAGGGAACCAAGACTCCTCCAAAAAAAGCAGGGAGGGAAGTTACTCCAGCTCTGAGTTATCCTATTCTGCAGAAAGCAAAGAAGGGTACAAAGACTCACCTATCAAAACACAGAGGAAACAAAGGTTCCATTGGCAAATTTCTGACAAGTTGAGTATCAAAAAATATAATGACTACAACTGCCTGACTGATAGGCAGGCAGGAAGGTACATAAAAAGATATCCTATGACCATAAAGATCCTCTTAAGAAAAAGACGGTGGCGAGGGAATTTCTTTACCGTGAAGGTAGAATAGAATTAGAAAATGAACATTTTGCAAACCCCAATGTAGTAACTGATTCAGGCAAAGATTATCAATGGATATTAACACCATTAAGTGAAAGGCTACTGGGGGAACAGGATACTTGTAAGGTGCCAAAGTATAACTTAACAGGTTACCAATTACAAGGGGCCAAGACATACCTTTAGAAATTTGAGATCTAATGGGCACCCTCTTAAACAAATAACTAAACTTAGCATCGTTGATAATGAAACACTTAATATTATATGCTTCCCAATATGAAGATGTTTAAAGTATTCTGTATTACCTATTAAGTACTCTTGATGAAAAAAAAAAAAGCTTTAAATGTTTCTCAAGAGCCTCAGTGTGACTGAGCTGCAGTGTTACTGCAAAAATGTTTAACCAGAGTCTAATGAAGCCTCTATGTAAGAACTCAAAACCTTTTTCAGTGCCATCAAACCTTCTGGCAGTCTAGTAAAACCTAAAGACCAACGTTATCCAATAGAAAAACAATGTAAGCCACCTGGTAATATTCAATTTTTTAGTAACAATATTAAAAGACTAAAAAGAGGGGTGCCTGGATGGCTCAGTCAGTTGAGCAGCCGAGTCTTGATTTCAGCTCAGGTCATGATCCCAGGGTTGTGGGAAGGAGCCCCGCATCAGGCTCCGTGCTGAATGTGAAGCCTGCTTGGGATTTTCTCTCTCTTCTCCTCCCTCTCTCCCTCTGCCCCTCTCCCCAACTCTCGCTCTCTAAAATAAAAAAAAAGGGGGGGGGGCCTAAAAAGAAATGTGACTATACACAATATATCCAAAAAAATATTTCAGCATATATTCAGTATTTTTTAAGTTATATTTTACATAAGTACTAAGTGGCCAAATATGGGATGTGTTTTACAATCAGGGCACACTTAAAGTCAAACAAGACACACTTCACCTGTTGAAGAGCCACCTGTAGCTAGTATTGGATTCTGTATTAGATAGTTCAACTAAAAGGCCCTTTCTTAGAATGTTTTTCAAATGCCTAAAACACACTTCAAAGGATTACAAAGGAAACATACGTACTGAAATTTGGTTATCAAGATACATTACAAACAAATGAATGAAACAGTAATACATGTGCTTCTTTATTAACATTAAATAAAACCTGGCAGGAAGTCTGATGACTACTTCAAAGTAATAATGAACATGCACTTGTTTTCATGGTATCATGTTATAATTACTACAGATATGAAAAGCACTGAGATTCCTACTGGTGATAAAGTTACAGGTTCAAATGAAAAGTAGTTTGTTATCTACATTAATAACAGAAGGAAATGTTAAATTCCTGTTAATAGTGAAAACAAAGACAAAATTTTTCCAATCCAAATGCACTGCAGGTTAAAAAACCCTAATCTATCCTATTTCAAGTTCATAAGAAACAAGTTTCTAGGGGATACAGAAGCATATTAAGCGACACCATAAGGAAACAAACGAATTCAGAATGTAGCATATTTTATAAGATAAAAAGCCCTTAATTCTTCAGAAAGTCAGTACTTGGAGGGAGAAGGTGAGAAGACTATTCTAGACAAATAGATTCAAGAGACATAAGAATCTCATGCAATACATGTACCCTGTCTGGACAACAGTTTGAAACAAGCAGCTATTAAGACATTTGTAAGGAAAGTGGTAAATGTTTAACACTTATTAAATATTAGATGTTATTACAGAATTACTCCTCAATTTCACAGGTATGATAATGAAACTGTAGCTCTGTAGAAAAGTGACTTTCTAGGAGATGCATGCTACAATATTTAGGGGGTGAAATATAAAGATGTCTGCAACTTTCAAATAGTTCAGCAAAAGTTAAAATATATACATAGAGAGATCAAGGAATTATGAAAAGACACTCATAACTATTAAACCTAGGTAGAGGATAGGTGTTTTTAGATCTATTATTTTAGCATCTTTGTACACCTGAAATTTCTCATCTAAAAAAAATGGGGGAAATGTTACAGAAGTTTATGAGAAAATGTTCAAAATATATATGACTGAAGATGATAAAGAGATTTCAAAACTATGTAATGTATAACTACAGAAAGGAATAAAAATATCTAGATATATAAACCAAAATATTAACAATGGTGTTATCTCTAAGAGTTGGGGATAATGGGTAGTTTTAACATTCTCTGTGCTTAACTGTATTTTCTGATACTATAAAATTATACAGGCATTTTAAAAAGCTACTTTTATAATAAAAAAGAGCAGAATCTTTATTTTGTAATCTTTACATCTTTATGTAAGGACAATACCATCAAGAGGTATATTTGATTTTCACTTAACGACTTTGAACTTCCTTCCTCATTTGTAAAATAAGACAATCATTACCTTCAGAGAATTTTTTGTGAAGATTAAACAGATTATGATCCACTCAATAAAATTAGAATCTGAGAGACCAGGTTAATATGAATAAAGGAGAAGGAAAAGTTCCTCCATACAATAAGAAACTAATAAATGTAGAAGAAATAATGTATTCAGAAAAAAAATCACCATTTACAAACCATCATAATAATAATTGATTCAGGGAAGAATCATCAGAGAATGCTAAACCAAGTGGCTGAAAGTTTTCTAAGAAATTGAATATTTACATAGTCTCAAGCTAATTCCCAACAGATTATTTACTGATCACAAAGGGAGAGAGGGATAGAGTAACTTTAAAATGGAAAAACCTGGCAGATACCACCTAACCAAGTGATCAAAATCAACATCTCCAATAGGACAAATTGACAACATATACCTCCTGAGAGAATGCACTAAAGAAGGACACATTACTTTGCTATTTCCTTCCTAGCAAAACTAGCCCCAATCTTGTCATGAGGAAACATCAAACTCAAAGTGAGGGATACTCTACAAATTAACTGGCTACAGTCTTCAAAAATGTCATGGTCAGAAAAAAACAAAGATAGACTGAGAAATTCTTCCAGGTTAAAGGCGGCTAAAGAGACATGACAACTAAATGTAGTAACTCTGGAATGAAACTGTACTTGAAGGAAAAAAAAATTGAGACAAATGATAAAATGTGAGTAAGTTCTAAATTAGGTAATAGTGTATCAGTGTCAAATTTTCATATTTTCATCAATTATACTGTAGTTATGTCCTTGTTACATATAATGGGCATGATGTCTACAACTTACTCTCATCTCACTTGGTTCAGAAAAATATAATACACTAAATATAAGTTACATACATAGAGAGGAATGGAAAGTGGGAGAATGGGAAGAAGGAAGAAAGAAGAAAGAGGAGACACAAGGAAGAGAGAAATGAAGGAAGAGATGGAAACAGAGGGAGGGGTAGGAGTAGAGGGGAGAAGGGAAGAGTAGAGAGGAAGGGAAGGGGAAGAAGGTGAGGTAAGAGGAGAGGAGAGAAGTAGGAGAGGATAAGAGAGGAAGACAGAGAGAAGAGGGAGAAGGATCTCTTGAAATGTGGCTACTGTGGCTGAGGAA